TGGGGCAGGGCGCGCTTGCGGCTGCCGCCGTTGAACATGGCCTTGACGTCCTCCCAGGCAAAGACCAGCTCGTCCTGGGGACTCTTGTCGGTGAGCTTGAGATGACGGCGCCACGAGTTGAAGTTGGCTGCGTCTGGCTGAGTGTACTTGGCGTCGGGCGTGCGGTGGGAGTGGAAAATGAACTTGTTGGGCGAGAAGTACATGTTGCAGTAGCTGCATTTGATGCACTTAGCGCGCGAGCTGTTGTAGCGCGCGGGGATGAAGCTGCCGCGGCAGCCCCAGGCGCACTCGTGTGACACGTCGAAGGCGAAATTGTCTGGCAGCTTGGGCGGCCTGTTTTCGCCCAGGAACGACTTGCACAGACGCTCGGCCTCGCGTTTGGTGATCATGCCGCAGCGGCGCGATGAGATGGGCATGGCCCCAGCACGCCGCAGGATCTCCAGTTGCACCGGCGTGCACTGCACACACGTGATGCCCAGCGCCACGCGGCGGTTGTGGATCTCGTTGTAGCTGAAGTTCTTGAGCAGAGTGTTGGAGATCTGCGCCAGGCACAGGCGCTCCTGCCCGTCGATCACCAACGACACGATGGGAATGCCGTAGAGGATCACCTGGCCCACCTGGTTGGGTTTGAGGTTGGCGTGCCCTGGCCGCGGCTGGCTCAGCGCGTCGGGCTGGAAGGCGCTCGACGGCGACGCCAGCAGGATGTCGTTGGGCCCCGGCAGCGGACTGGATGCCATCTCCGCCGCAGAACCCCGGGCCGAGCCCTACAGGTCTGCCTTGGACACTGGAAGGGAAAGGAGAAAGCATTGACTTGAGCCTTTTCAGACTAAAATAGAGGGGTGGGGTGAGTCGCTAACCAAAGAATTAGAATAACTTTCTAAGACATGGTTATTACGGGAAAAAGTGACCAAGTGTTGAACACAAGAAAGTCATCTCTTAATTTCCTTCAAGGTCATCCTTTAGAAATGCAGGAATTTGCACTTCTAAACATTTAAAGTGAATTAACTATGTATTTTGCTCAAAAGCAGTGAATTCCTAAGAAACCCAGGACTTTATCCCGGATTTATAGAAGCTGTTGGAATAAAATGGCTTGCCTGCTAGAAATTAGGTAGTAATGACAGTTGTAACTAGTACAGATTATAAAAGTTATGGAAAACGGACTTGGCATAGAAACTCAAATTTAAAGAGATATAATTCTCATTTGCTTGGAGATAGATTGATTTTGGTTAAAAAGTAACCCCAAAAACCCTTTAAAAAGTTATTTTCATGGTGTCTGTGGTTTCCTTGGGGAAATTCATTATTGGTTGAAACTCAGGTCATTAAAGCAAAACGAAATCCCTTCTCCCTCATCCTTGCCATTAGATATTTTGTTACTGTAATTATAATTTTTTTTGAAAAAGTGAAAAATATACAATGTCGTATACACAGTTGCACCAAAATAGGATGTTTCAGTTTTTTAAAAACCTGCTTGCTGAACTGAGTGGTTCTGGTCTCAGATAGGTAGGTAGCTTAAAAACATGATTGAAGATGGTAATCATTTAAAAACGGTTTTCCTGTCATTTCCATGACGATAAGAAAGTAAGTACAGGCAAGGGTGTTAAACCCAGAAACAGTACACAGAAATGAACAATTCTTGGGGATCTTCATTGGCAGATTTCAAAAGTCAATTTTTTTAGCTTGATGTGTACCACCTTCTGTGACTTTTTTCCCCTAATTTATTTCGATATATCTATATCTTTATGGGGAAAAGCTGCCCCACCATATAGCTAATCGGAGGACTAGGTAATCTTTGGGAGTGTTGAAAGTCGAAATCCCAGGTTGAGCCTGCGGTAAAATTTCTAACTTCACCTCCAGTCAACAGAATGCCACAGTGAGGGAAAATATTCAGTAAGTTGAAAATCCAGAAAAAGGAAGCGGAAAGAAATGTTTGCGACAATGCCACTAAGCGAAAACAAGGAAAGTGGCTCACTCCCTAGGAGAACAAACAGTGATCTTTCCACAGCTACATTTCAAGCGCATTGGCCAAGGCTATGCTTTGCCCTAAAAAATCGCCAGAGGCCATAGCATGGCCCCTTTTGGCCACGTACAGCGAGTTCCCTATTACAGTGCTTTCAGAGGGTACACGATCTTACTCCCTCACACAATTTCTTATCCGTGTCCTCTCTCTGGGCCCCTGTGGCATCTATAGAGCAGCCTCTGCCCTGCTGCCCCCTGGATCCTCAGCTCTCATTACATTCGGCGGCCTCCAGGAAGCTTGAACAAACCTCGACGCGATCAAAGGAGAGGAAAGCCTGGATTGTCACTTCGGGTGGATCAGAGACAATATTTCCAGGGGACAAGGCGTTACATGGCAGTTCAAGGCTCAGTGACAGCCGAGTCTGATACAACCAACACTAGGTTCGCCAAGTGGCCCTTCGATGCTCTTTTCCCTTCCAAACAAGGTTCATATTGTCTTAATAAGACCCTGGGATAACTCCAACTCTCTCTCCCCAGCAAGGCGCGCAACTGGCCAGCCGGGGCGGGAAACTGGCTCTGCATTAAGGACTCGCAGCCTTAGGAGCAGTAGACCAGGCAGAAGCGTCCCCTCACTTTTACCCCAAGCCCTCACAGAAACTCCCGTCAGAGCAGAGACACAATTAAGGTTTAGGCTGGGGCATTATTTTTTGGAGGGGTGGGGAGGGGAGAAGAGACAATTAAAAGTTAGTTGAACTGAGAAAGGAAGCTGAAGAACTTCCCTATCCTGCCCAAGAGCCAAAGACCCCCCACCCCCAACTTAGTTCTCCCGACTCCCAAACCAGTCACCACGGAAGCCCACTGCTGCCCCTCAACCTAACGCGGAAAATCCTACCGCTGGGGATCTCAAATAGTGCACTGCAAGCTGTGTGCCGGATCGGGGCGGCCGGTTCCGGCAATACCTGGTAACCTCTGGGTGTCTTTAGGCGTGTGGCTGCCGGCCCATCTTCCGAGGGCGCTCGGAGGCGAAGCATCCAAGCGGGTCCTCGTATCCAGCGGGTGGGACTCCGGCGGGCTCCACGCGAAGATCCGGGCTCTCGCCCGAGCGAATGGCGCTCTAACCCCGGCCTGGGGAGAATGATGGCCTGAATTGCGGCGGGGCGTCCTCTCCACCGCAGAAAGTGTGGGCACGCGGAAACCTGGGGCAGGAGAGCCCCAAGTGGAGCGCAGTCTGACAGAGCCTTTCTCTGTCTCTGAACTCGTGTGGGACCGAGGGGACGCCACCCAGCGGGCAGGGTGACGTCACCATCTCCCTGACACTCCACATTAAAGGGCTGGCATGTTACAGGGAGGGAGGGGGAGAGCGAAAGCCAGCGTGAGCAATAGAGAGATCGTTTCTCAGCAGGCACGAAAGCTACCAACCTAACCAACTCGCAACTGACAACAACCTCCTCAATCCCTGAGTAAACTGCAGCAATGGTGCTGGAGCCGCAGATCTGATTTAGGAGTGGAAAGCGAGCAGTCTGCCTGCATCCCGGGACCTGGATCCTGGAGGCCCCGGATTCTAGAGGGAGGCCTCCAAATTAACTGTATCCCTGCCCGTTATTGTCTCCTCCCCTCATTTCTGAGTCACCCTCCTTCATGAATGATCCCTCTGGTACACGATGCAAAGCTGCTCTGTGTCTCTGAAGACAGAATCCACAGTCAGCCGGAGAATAAATTAGCTTCAGTGACTCCTTTAAAACGCTATGAAATGAGAAAACGGAGAGAAGTTTCCACATAGGGTGCCCAATCTAAAAACTTGGAGTGCCCCGACTTTGGCACATATGTTTGCTTTATAGGACACAACGCAGAGTCACTGCAGCCTTCTCTATTTTGTGGAGTGTACCATTAGGTGAGGACCCCAATATGTGCATGTGCACATCGATTTTCAAACTGCATTCAGAATTGTCCTCTAACCCATTTTACAAGATCCATACAGGCTACCTCTGCACAAGGAAAGGGTGGGGCGGGGAAGCAGGGAGGTCCCTAACATGGATCAGTCCTTGAGCAAGTTGCCAATTTTCCTGGAGAAATAAATAAATTTAATCAGGAAAACACGTAGAAGCATGCTCCCCTCCACTAAAATAAAGACTAGGATAAGAAAACATTTCCTCATAGTTTCCCTAAATGAGGCACACCCTAGTATATTAATGAAGTGTCAATATTGTGCCTCCCAACTGACCAGCTGTTAAGACTAAAAACGACCACTGGCTAGTTTATCAGAAAGGAAAGAAACCATTCATTTGGAGTATGTTCTAAGAAGGATGCCGGCTCGGGGTGGGGTTGGGAAATCCTTTAAGTTTTTCCTTTACTGCCATAGCTGAATTTTCAATTGCTGCCTAGTGAAACAGTCTTAGCATTGTGGAAATGATGGAAAAACCTCTACCAAGCTGAAAGCCCACCCAGATTGTGTCATAGCACCAACAACACACCACTCCTAAATACAAGAGCAAAAACATGAAATCTTAACACTTCATCAAAGGTTAATAAACCCAAGGAAAGTAAATTGAACAGAAACGTGAGGGGCTTGTTGCTCAGGAGTTGTGGCTATTTTAAATTAATATCCTGAAAACACAGTTACAGAGCCATGAAAATGGAAACGTTTGGGCATAAGTTTCAACGGGCAATGAAAGAATTTTTCACCCATCTTCTAGTTTCTAAAGACATTCAAGGCACAAATTGGGCTTTGTCCTAAGGGACTGAGAACAACCTAGTGCTCCCCCGCCAATACCCCAAAGCCTCCCATCCTAAAAATAAGGAAAACTCACACTTGCTGCCTACACAGCCCATTGGCCAAAAGCGCGCCATTGCCATTCAAAAATCCCTTCTCTCCGAGGCTGAAGGCCCAGTGCTCTTTAGAAGGTTTCAGGGCTAAACTGGTTGTTCTCCCCTTCTCTGCCTCCTCTCTGGGGTCAGGGGCTCCCACAAAGGGAAATGTTCCCGGTCCCCAGTCTGCCAGAAAGAAAGCTTGAGCCATGTGGAAACGAACCCTGGAAATGGGACTGATTTTACGACTGAGAGCAGGAAGAACGGAGAAGTCCTATCACCTCACTAACTACCACAGGGAAATATCTGGTTGCTGCCGGGGAGGGAGCACTACGAGGTCTTCAGTTTTAATTGTATAGTTCCCGTTGTTACCCCACAAAGCTCCTCTTCCTCTTACAGATCTCTATCTTTTAAAAAAGAGTGTCTTCATAAACAGATTTATTTGAAAAGAGAAATGGGCCGAATCTTTGCCTTCCCTCCCATTCCAGGTTACCCTAAGGAGTGAATCCACATCTGGGTGGCACCGTAGCCACTTCCTTACCTGAATTTTAAAACAGAAACATTTACAAATTACTTCTGGGCTTACTGCATACAAGCCTATAACTTTCTTCCCCAGTGCCCCCGTCCTACAGGACAAACAGGGTATGTAACTTTAATAGAAAAAGGTTTCATTGTAAAGAGAAATGAGTAGTGTTAGGTTAAATAATTTTACACAATTCTAAGAATAGTACAGTATTTTATTTCCACTGTGAGTCTAGGGTGCCTGTTTAAAAGGTCAGGCCAATTATACTTTTTTGGAAGGTAAAAGTGGATAACAGTTGTTCAAAGACTTCACACATGCCCCCAGTTAATCTTGAGACCAGAGCCGGACTGCAGAATCACAGCCTGTTGGTATGTTTTGAGTCTGCGAGCAACCTTCTGCCACCCACTGTCTCTGTGACCCTTTGTTTTCTCCTCAGTTTGAACAAGTCTCCTGCTGATCCTTTGTGGAGTCCTTGCCAGTCCCCGTCCTGGCCCCTGGGACACTGTCAGGCTCAGGGAGGAGTCGGCGGCGGCGAGAGGAGGCTGGTTGAACCCGAGTTAATCAATGCTTTCATCTTCGAACTGACGTGCATTTTACACGTCGGGACTCTCCTCAGCCGGCTAATTGATTCAAATTGTTTTATTGGTTAAACTGGTGTCACCCATTTTCATGATCTATCACCACATGGAGGAGAGCATTTCCACTCCTATCTCCGTTCCGGGCGGCTGCGGTTCACCCAGGCCAAGGACAGGTAAAGGAGCCCAGACGCGGGACCCAGAGGAAAACCACAAACCGAGCTGGCCTCCTCAAACTGGAGAGGCGACGCCTGGAAGCAAGAGCAGGAGGCCAGCACAGCAGCGCATATGAGCTTCCAGCTACAAATT